TACAGCTTGCACGGACGGACGGACAGACGGACAGACGGTCGGACGGACAGACAGACATCCGGATTTCAACTCTACTCGTCACCCTGATCACTTTGGTATTTATAACCCTATATCTGACTCTTTTAGTTTTAGGACTTACAAAAATCCGTTATGTGAACAAAACTATAATACTCTCTTTAGCAACTTTGTTGCGAGAGTATAAAAATTTCTATGTTCTTCGTTAAGGTACCTTACATACAATAAACAATCATATGGAGGTAAGTCAGCCCGATGTTCGAAAATCCTGATATTAGTTATATGGAGGATAGGTCAAGTTTTTGCCCAATTTAATTTATTTTAGGTACACAGAAACACTGTAAAAAAGTACACGTGAATAAAACATGCTTTGGAATTTTCATTGAGATAACTTAACTCAAATATTGGTCGATATTTGCAACATAAAGTCAACCGGAATTTCCAAAATCTGTTTATATGAGGTATATGGGGGAAGTATTGACGCAATTCAACCCAATTTTGGATGCACAGAGAAACTATTGCCTACAAAGAAATCTCTCTGAATTTAATTTGCATAGCCTATACATTGACCGATATTTTCGGACAAAAGTCGTATATAAGGGGTCCACATATTCGGTACTTAGGGGGTTTACAGTTACTTTAAAGTAAATCAAATGGAATTTTAAATTGTGGTATATGAGAAAAATATATGAGCTGTTTTAATCCGATTTCCGCAATTTTCGTATTTAACAGCCGCTAAAATAGAGTCCTATAATACAATTTTGGGAAATTTAATGTCTCTGGCGTAATTCGTTACTGATTTATTGCGCTTTTAATAGTCTTCAACAGTAGCGTTACTTGCGTAGTTTAAAAGATATGTTCACTAAATTTATTAGATAGCAGAGCCAAGGCCACTTTTTCTAAATTATGTGCTCATTACTACTTATTTATTTAGTCCTTAGTTATGGCACTTTATAGGTTTCTGGTTAATGGCGTTGTGTTGGCTTGGCAATGACCCGATTACGCCAATCTACGCACTCGCATTTTTTTATACTGGGAATCCGCATACCAAGTTTTGTTAAGATATTTCAATTTTTACTCAACTTAATAGTAGGGGAGCCTGAAGTGCTAAATTTGCAGTTACTGGAGCGTCATAGAGACTTACTAGAATGTCAAGATAACGTTAAAAAAAATAAAGGAAGTTTAGGTGAAGTTTTTTCATTTCAGTGGGGAGAAGAGCGAGTAATTAATTTCAAAAATTAAAAAAAAAAAAAACAGTCTAAATATTTAAGAGCGTCAGTCATTTATGGTATAGTCGTATACGCGCATTGTATTTCTGATATTAAAAAAAAAAAAAAAGTTACTCGAGCGTGTCAGATTTGCAAAGCAAATATTAATGAACCGCTAAAAAGTGTGCCATTTAAATTTCTGACAATTTCGACGTGGCCAAAAGTCATGACCGATTTTAAAACTTGTAAAAAAAAAGGTGACCTTGAGACACTCGAGCGCGTCAAATTTGTATGCAGGGGGATGAACTTGATGTTAGAGTCTTCCCAAAAGATWGTCTGACAATTATATAGAGGAATATCGTTAATCTGACGATTTAAAAGTGGAAGAATTCTGTTTGGTTCTTGTTTTTGTTACAGGATGTAATAAAAACAGTGTATACATATATATATACATATGTATAGAAAATTGAATAATTTATTAATATGAAAATACATAGATAGAAATATTAAAAAAAAGAAAAAAATGACAATTTTCGTCATTCGAGTCACTCCACTTTCCACTTCTTGAACTCCTTGAACTTCCTCGTCGTTTTGCATTTCTGTAACCGAGAAAGTATATAAAACTTTACAATTTTTTACTTCTTTTATGACAGTATGGTCTTCAAAAAAGGATTCGATTTTTTTTCTTTAATCTGACGAACTCCCCCCAAATCACGCCTCCATCTTAAGGGCTCATGTTTGGTAGGGCTACATAAAAAGATGCAATGTTTCTTCCCATAAAATTTTCTGACACGATTTAGTTACTGCAAAAATCCCCTCTTGGGCTCCCCTACTATAAAGCTTGCACGGACGGGCGAACAGACAGTCAGGTCGTCACCCGGATTTCAACTTTTTTAGTCATCCTAATAATTAGTATAGTATACTTATGTATAACTCCATATCTATCTCACGCAGCTTAAGGTGAACAAAACTATTATACTCTGTAGCAACAGGTTACGAGAGAACGAATAGATTATAAAAGAACGTCGAACAGTTTTTGAAGGCAAACTTCTGACTATTTTTCTGAAGAAAAAAAAAAGTTGCTTTCTTTTTTAGTAATGTGGTTTTCGAGAAGAAAAAAAACCCATATATTTGAGAAATATGGCCCAGTGATTGTTTCTAACCATTTGCCACACCAAATGGTGACCTTTTGTCTCAACATATACTTGTAGATTATCGTCACTCGAGTCAATGTCGCAAAATCTGCAATATAGTAAATGGGAAGTGCTCCAACTGTTGCGTACGWTGGCAGTTGGACCCATTCGGGTCTTCCTCCATACTTATACGAAATAAGTATTGGCTTATTGAAAAGCACACGTTTAAAAATATCCCTCGTTTATATGCCAATTAAATTTGCTTTTAAAAAATTCAACTTATTTATTTATCACTTAGCAGTTTGGTATCACGAATGAGCAAAATTTTTTGCGTGGATGTGTCTTTCAAGTATTAAAATTTTTGGCAATAAAAACTATTTTTAAATTACTGAGAATTTATATTCTTCTTTACGGCTAAGAAATATCAAAATGTTTACTAATTAGCAGAGTAATAATATTTTTGAAATACTGATGAAAGTAGTACCTGAAAAATATTGTGAAATTTTGAAAATTTGAATTATGCAAAAGAAATTATAAATGAATAGTATCAGCACAGGGAAATTTTAAAGAATTATAAACCTATTCCAAACCAAAATTAGAAATGTAAAATCAAGATAATAAAATAAATGTACAGAGTAATTTTTCAGATTTTCTACTTATGCTATTTAATGATTTAAGTAAATCATCTCAAAAGAGAATAGAGAAAAACGAAAGCGTCTAAGAAAATTGCATCTTCCAAATGAATTGTCGCGCTGTGCAGAAGGTGGCTGTTTAAAATAAATTCTAATTATACACYGAATTAAGAGACGCTATATTTAAATGTTTGTATGCTTGTACATACGCGTTAAAATAAATGCAGTTGGGAGCGCTGCTCTTGAAAGACAAGTGATATGCCTTCAAAAAACGCTCAGTACTTTGGCAGCGGCTGGCTAAGTAAGATGATTTGTTGTATGTATTTGACACAAATTCAAACGGTTCGCATTCCCAGCGTTGTGAAAATATATATATACATACAAAAATGTGTTATATGTTTGAAGATCGCGTGGAGCGGAGTGAAATGAATAAAGCTGAAATGTAGAAAAAGTTGAAAATAATTTATACATATGAGTCGCTATGAAATTCGGGAAGCTGTGTATGATTGTTTCCAAATGTGCCGCAGCCAGTTGCATATGAAAAGGCTGTGAGAATTGTGCTTGTGAGATTTGTATWTTGTGACGAGGGAAGCTGTGCTGTTCGTAATATCAGTGATTTTTAAGTGAAATTTTACGAAATTTACAGCAACAAAATGCCACCAAGAAAACATGTAATGTTTTGCAGATTAAAAATAAAATTTTCGAATTGCTTCTGCGCATTTTTTGAGATAAAATTTTGCTGTTACGAGTATTAAGAAAAAAATGATAATAAATGTGCTTATGGAAGTTTTTTCAAAAATTTTCCAATTTTGCTTATATGTTATGCTTTGTTATGTCGTGTTATGCTATGTTGCGTTATGCGGTGCTGCTTTACGTTGTGCTATGTTATGAGGGTGCAGTGTGATATGTTATGTTATACTATGCTGTGCTATGTATGTAAAATTCACCAAACTAAAATAAAACCATTCAAAAACACTGATATTTTTTTCTTCTTTATGATAAAAATATCATCCAACAAAACTCACCAGACCACTAAAGATAATCCATTCAAAAAATTAAAAAAAAAAAATTTATAATTTTAATAAAATAAAAATTTTAAAAGTTAAGCATTTTTACCAATGTTTTCTTTCAAAGATCTCTAGATCTAGATCTGAATATGAAATTATATATATCTTTATATGAAATCCCATTATTGTCAAATTAGACTCAGAAACAAAAAYAAACCATCCATATTTCTACTGCAAAAATCCAGCACTTTTCATTTAAAATTTGTTTGAATACCATTATTTATGAATCGAAATTCTGCAAAATTTATCTTCATAAAAAGCATAATAAAAATCCAAGTCAAACATGATAACAAATAKCTGAAATATCGCGCACATGCTATGTTTATAATAAACTATTTGAATCAACAAGCTCCGCGCGAAATGCCGCAATCTATTGGAAACAACAACAATTAGTGAATAATCTCATATGCCTATGAATAAATATTTATGAAATATAAATGAGCCAACGAGTTAGATATTGCGTATACGCCGCGGTGGCGCGCTACAATGAATTAATGCACAGCGCCACGCGAATGTGAGCGCTTATACTTATGTACRTGCGTATGCGTGTGTGCACAAAAGCGCCTACATATCACTTAGCAGCTAGAACAATTGCCAACTAAAATCACAACAACATATCTTCATTGGTTGCTAAAAATAAATGCGAACAAAAAGGAAAATAAATAAAGAGCGCTGCTCAAAATCTCGTTGGCAGCAGTGAGATAAATTGCCACAAAGCGTGATAACTAGCTGAACGCTAGCGAGCATTGAAAGTATTTATGCGCCAAGCAAATCCACATGGTGGATGATATAGTATATACAGGCATGAGAGCGGAAAATGTGTTGTTTTTGGTATTAAAAGCAAATTATTTCAACGAAATCAAATATATGTACATACCTATGTACATACATGCATATTTACAATGAGAGTATACAGATATTGAGATTTTGTTTATGTGATTTTCAGTGTCAGTTTTAAAATTTTTTCGAAAAATAAAAATTAGTTGTAAATAAAAACTCAAAACTAATATTTGACAARTAATTTGCCCAAAATTTCGCTTATATTGTTATCACATTATCAAAACTTGGTACTTATCYGTAGCTTATATTTAAAATAACTATCGTATAGTTACTAAATTCTGTTTTATACATGGCTGTCGGTTACTTATTACTGGCCACTAGGTTTCCATTTGCGGAGTTTTGGAATTTCAGCGTATGAATATGTTGAAAATAAATGAAGAGAATTTTGCTGGCTTTTTCTTTTATAGTCTATGCTTCTCATTTTCTCGCTCATCGTTTAAAAAGCCTTGACAGAATTGGAGTATTGCTATGTAATACTTAAAACCGTATTGCTTAAAAATGTGAACTCGGTGTTGTTATATTCTAGTACACTCATACCAGTAGCCATATGTAGAAAACCAATGCTATAGCAGCCAGGAAAAGTTGATCGCAAACTGTATTACGCATCCATAAGCTTACACAATAGAGGTACAAATAATTATAAATAAATAATAAATTAAAAATTAGGTATTTAGCTTGTCATAAATCAAGAATCAAATAAATAACAAATAAATTCTGTCGATAACAGAAATTTCGAAAATAATTGAATATTATATACTAGTCAAGTCTGACGACGCACTAAGGTTTTTAAGGTACCCATTGTGAAACTACCGGGACTGAAACCCCTTCACTTTATTATGCCCTCTCTGAACCACCTGTGCACCTGATAAAGTTTATCATTTTTCAAAGTTTTATATACGCAATTTTCGAGAAATTACCAAGAAACCCTATGACATTCTTTTCTTAGAGTCTTTTTGTTCTACCTTTTGGCAACTTCTACAATAACCGTTTTATGGCATCTTCAGTCTGCTTGCGTATCTTCTACTAAGACAGCGATTTTATATCATTCGTTTGAAATTTTAATATTCGGCATATGCGGCCCATATTCCATATTGCGGTTGCCTGCTTATTGAGCAAGTCATGGATTGATTCCACCGAGCTGCAGTTATATCTATAACGTGTTTCTCGACTATATATAAGTAGCCAGATGCATGGGAATTTATTGGAATTTTGTTGTAGGTTATGCCTGTTCAGGCTAGTTCAACTGCTTATCGGTTACCAGAAATRTCAGTGTGTCCTGGAATCCATCCATATCGTGTTATAAAAAGTTAAAATCACTTAGAGATTAAGGCAATCTTTCATTATTTTTCATTCTTTGATAAACCGAAAGATATTGATTTCAAAGCCACCATGCCTCTCTGTGTATATAAAAACACAAATTTTGTCATAAGCGCCCTTGTAAGAACATGAACGCTTTCTTTAATTGCTGTGATCTCCCCTTGGAAGACAATGCAGTCTAGCAWCTAATTTTGTAGGAAAAACCCCTCCTTTGACTCGATTATCTGGTTTGGGCCCGTACGTATAGATACTTTTTAAGCGGGTTGATATTTTTTCTATAAAATCGCTTAAGCGGGATATGTTTTAGGGATTATTCTCAACAACTTTGTTTAAGACACTATGGATCTAAACTGATTTTGACAGTCATTTTTAAGGCGCAGTTTAAAAAATCTAAGTAATAGCTTGTATGCGAGATATGTGATATATAGTGGTTGTAAGATCTTGCCGATGCCGCACAATGATCAATAAAATATAAAAATGGGCTTCATTGCTAAACAAATCTCGACTCGAAAACGTTGGATCTCGTGGAACTCTTCAAAAGCCCATGGAACGAAGCGAAGTTGCTTGGGAAGGTCGAGTTGCTTTAGTTATTGCACAAGCTGTATTTTATTCGCTTTCATTTTAATATCTCCACGTAAAATATGCGAAGTCGTTCCATAAGTCAGTGTCGTATAATACTGAACAGAAATTAGATAAAGCCTTAACACGACTCGCGTGTGATCAGTTAAAAAAGGCTATTGAAAAAATCACCTCTACTTGGATCACCTGTTATATGCATATATAATATTTTGAAATATTGGCATAAAAACGATTTGATTTTCCCCAGAAARGCATTAAAAAGGCTCATCAAAGAAAACGAAATGGATAAAATAACGAGTAAATAAAATKGGAAATATGGATGCTTTGAATATCGCTTTGATCAAAATTGAGMACAAGAACTAAAAATCACCAGCATGAACGTAGTTCATTAAGTACTTGTAGTATTATGTAACAAACTAAGTATTTTTCGTAGTTCTGTGAACATACATTTAAGAAATACTATATTGAAATTCTTAATAATATTTATTTTTTCCAATATTATGTAATTGTTTGCAATTGTTTACAAACTACCTTTTGCTCTCGTAAATGCGCTCAGTAAACTCTAAATCTCCCTATTTTTTTTAACTTAAATTTGTCTTTACTCGTTCGCGCTCTTATCGTTCTCCATTTCAATTTTCCTCGTGTACGTTTGACATAAAGACCCACTTTTCTCAAAATATCACCGCTCTCTCATGTAGTCTCATTTGTTTTGTTGTTCTTTGCAGTTTTTGTTTTGCTAACACAATGCTTCAACGTTTTTACAAATAACACGGAACGCGTGCCAAGCAAAACTTGTTTACAAATCTAGAAACATGCAGGTAAATCGATGACATGAGTAATGTAGCGCGGAGAAACTAAGTAGTAAGCGCTTTTTTAATCGATTGCCGGCTAATTGAGCACCTGTACATTTTGGCACTTGCAAGCAATTAACAAGATGAATGGCGCTTTGTTTTATGAATGAAAACGTGATGTGCAGAAAATGAAAATGGTGAAATGTGTAATGGCATGACCTCGCTGACGGCGGAATTTGCAATACAAATAAAAATAAACAAATAAAACAAAGAAATTTGCCACCAAACAGCTTTGCGTACTCGCTTAGCATGTTTTTGTCTTTAAAATAAATAAATAATTTGTGCATTTGTTCTCCCACGAATTTTAGAAAAACAAAAAGAAGCATCACCAACACCAAGCTCAACAACAAGTGTCACCTGTTCAATCGAGCAATAAAAGTTCTCCAACCAAAATGGAAGGCAATACTGAGTCTTGCGATTCAACATCAAAGCAGCTTCCCTATAGAATTGAAAAATCAACGGTATTGGGTCGCTACTTGGTGGCGAATCGCGACTTGAAAGCCGGTGAACAGCTCATTACAGAGGAGCCTYTAGCCATTGGACCGTGTGTTTCAGCGGATGCCGTGTGCTTGGGTTGTTATATGCCAGTGAAGTTGCAGTCAGCACAATATCGGTAAGCTGGAGTAATCARGGATACAGCAGGCTTATTCTGTATATTAAAAATATTGTTATTATTTGCTTTTAATAATAACAAACATTTTTTCAATGAATGGGTAYGCGAAAAAGTATGAAACATTCAGTTGTCAAGTAATATTATAAGGGTAGAAAAAAAGTAATTAATTTTTATTTATTTTATCTATTTTTTATATCCAAGGGGTAGCGCTATATGCCTTAAAAATTTTAAGATTTCGTATTAAAAAACCTCTTTAGACTGTTTTTCATTGCTTGACCCAGTATTGATAAAACTTGGCAAAAGGCCARTTTTCAAAAATATCGATGCATTAAAGAAAATCAACGAGCCCGACCACTATTTCGATTGCTCAGCAGCTAAAACTTGTACAGAAACCCTTTAGAACCATTTAAAGAAGATTGTTGTTGTTGGTTGTCAAATTATTAATATTAAACAAGAAGGATTTGCTATGTGATTGGTGGGATTGGCAATGAATAATCTTCTATAGCTGTCCCTCTACGGCTAAATTTTTAAATAAACCGTCGGAGAAAAGCAATCGCCTAGAAGTGGTCAGCTATGGCCAATAGGAGAGCTTGTGTTTCAACAGAACAACGACAGGATARTGACTGGCCAGAAGCTCCAGGAACTTGGGAGTTTCGTATGCATACAACTCGTAGTCCGTGCTTGACATTAAGTGATCTACCTATTCCTGCGGATATTATGAAATAGTGTCTCAAGAAATTTTTATCTTCCCAGTTTTTCCGATGATGACGAAGGTTTCTATGAGAGTTACGTGATGAAATTACCTTCAAAATGGCTATAAGCTACAGGAGAACGAATCGAAAAAGAACATTTTCTATCGACATCGGATCATTCTAACCACATTACATTACATTCTTATTATTACGAATGATGTGTAAGGTTTTAATGAGTGTGACACTTTAAAGGAATAACAGATAACGCGGATAGCACTTCTCATAATAGGTAACCCTGATTCCAAAATCCGACCCATATAATCTACTCACAGTCTATGAAACTATGAATGAATTTGTAAGATTTGCTCTCGTTTACATGAAACACAATAAGAGGTGTATTTACATAATCAGTTTTGTTTTGAAAAGTAAAGACGCATTGATAAAAACCAGAAAGACAAATGTCGAAAATGATTTTTTGTTTTTCAATAAAACTCCTTTTATGATTATTTCTTGTATAGTTTTGAGTTAAAAATATCGCTAAAAGACCAGAAGTAATCTGCATTCATGTGGTGATCGCAACTTTCTTTCATCAATTTAAGATCTCGGTGATACCGTCCTCCTGGTTCCACCCTTTATGGGTTTTTTATTACATTTTTTTCCAGATGATTGTCTATATACGAGTACAAGGTGCTTTCCAAAGTAAACAGGACTTAAAAAAAGGAAAAAAAAGTTTTTTTTTGGCAAAATCATTTTATTTTATTCAAAATAGTCTCTTTCTGCTTCAATGCAGCTTTTTGCACGGTCCAAAAACATGTCGAACGAGTGTTTTAGCTTGTTGGCCGGTATGGCCGCCAGTATGCCGGTGCAAGCCTCTGAATGGTCTCTACGTCTGCACAACGCTTCCTTTCATGGGCAAATCCATTTTTCCGAAATGGAAAAAGTCGCATGGTGCCATATCAGGTGAATACGGGGAGTGGTTAATAGTTAAAATGTGAGTTTTGGTCAAATAATCAGTCACCAGCGTCGATCGATGAGATGGATTCTGAGCAATTTTCAGTCGTCAATCAATTTGTGCGGAACAAACCGTGCACACACCTTTTGCGGCTGATTTTTGATGAATTTGCGCACAATTTGGGTTGATTACCGATACTGAAAGGCCCACATGTTGATCGTCATTTATGTCCTCACGACCAATTTGAAAACGTTGAAACCACTCGCGCTCTCCGCTACGGGATAGGCAATCATCGCCGTAGACTTGATTCATCAATTGAAAGTTTTACCAATTCTAAAACAAAATTTAATGTTGGCTCTATGTTCGAAGCTCATTTTCGCACCGATAACACAAACATACTGACATTTAAGACGAAATAACTTTACTTCCTATCAATGAAATATTATGAAATTCTCACTGGACAATCGATAAAGTTAGCGGATTCTAATGCACCAGCCGACATATAAATGGCACCACCAGGGGGCGCTCGTTTCAAAAAGTTCTTACTTTGGCATATTTGCTCCCAGAGCCTGACAGTTTGTCGGCATATTTTGCATAATTCTTCTTCATTATTTACCTTGCCGAATTAGTCATAATTTTGATAAAATCTGTACCTTTCATGAATGGCCGTAATTGATCTTTAAAACTTTCACTTTTGAGTCTCTTGAGAACTTCCATGTAAAACTTGGCGTTGACGGTTTGTCCAGGAGGAACAAATTCATGGTCTGAGTTAAAAACTTTGCGCACACGAGTCACATTGTGAGTTTATGTCGAAGTTGCAGCACTCCTAGCACGGTTTCATCAGCGACCTTTTCCCAACCCCCCAAAAGGCCTGATGCCACCGAAACACACCACTTTTTGCTAAAGCAATGTCTGGGTACGCCTGCTTGATCATATCAAATGTCTCTGTGGCAGGTTTCGGCTTGCACCCCTCACAGAAACACGTCGCGCGAAAATATTTGTCCTGATTCTCCAGGTGACTGACCAGCCGCTCATTCGTTAGCTAGGAATACAATCTACCGAATCCAGTCTGTGCGTTCACGCTGTGAAGTACAGTCGCGGCGGAAGAAAATCATTCATATTACTTTTCCGACAAACCCTGTATTTACCCTTTCGATGCTTTCTATTATGAGGTACCCTG